ACTTTAGGTAAATAAAAACGAAATTGTTAATTGTTTTATCTACATTGGTGTTTATAAGTTTAAATTGAATATCTTTCTAAATTTTTATTTCTTTGAACGACTCTTTTCAGTTCTGTTTATGATAAGATTCATAATAAAGAGGTCTCATACATTATATTAAATCCATGTTGGAGCCTCACTACGTCGTTACAGTTCATGTTGCCACGTGCGGATATGCTCTATTTGAAGACCATGCACAGCTCCATCGTAAGGCTTTCATGCACGAAGCACACCTCGTCCTACCTGGTGCTTTCCATAAGCCATTAATGCACGAAGACAATGGATTCCCAACGCAAGTTTTAACAGTCCGATTTCACAGAAACCATAAGTTATTTAACTAATATTGGAATAATATGAGTACTCGTTTCATTCGCCAGCTGCTTGAAGTATGCGACTTTTGAACGATTATTTGTGTACACGTGACTTCTGTAGCTTTTCCAGATAGTAACCCTTCTTGGTTATATTGGGCACTGCTGCAAAGGGCACATGGACGGTTTTTGCCACTGACCTTCTGATTCGTAGTTTCTCATCTAATACAAGACGCTACAATTTGCTTACAACGACTTTTTCTGGATGGTCCAAGTTGATCCATATTCTATGGTTTTCCAATCTCATCAAGTGTAAGGGATAGCCTCGCCTTGAAAATTCTAAATCTACAAAATGAAAACATCTTCATTATATGATTGTATAAAGTTTTTGCATTGGAAAGGGCTGTTACATACCCTTCCCAAAAGCGATCAATTTTCGATAGCATCACACTACCTATGTGACACCAAACAATGTCAAAATTTAGTGCTGATACATGGCAACTTTATATAAGGTGTGGCTTTCACGAACCATGCTAATTAGCAGATTTAAAACCGTATTAATGAAACGTACTGAACTCTCTGTATGGTTAAGAGTACAACTTTTCCATTTCTATTTACTGGATGTATGGGAGAGTAAATCTAATAGGCAGCTAGTTTTCTGAATTTCATTATTAATATCCTACTTGATAGATAGTTTAAAACTGTTTGTTACATTTCAGTATTAGTCTAATGTTTTATAAAAAAATGTAAATTTTTGTTAGTCCTAAATCTTCCAAAGCTCCTAGACTTCTTGTTTCATTGTAGCCATGATGATGGGAAATGATATGTGAATTGTTTTAAATAAGAATGTTACAAATATTTATGGTTACATTACAATGATACTATTGTATTTCTCACCTCACTGTGGTTTTGGTCATCCTTTTTATTTATATTTCTAATATATCTGTTTCTCATAGAAATATTTTAGTTCCCAGTGGATTATAGTTTTTCTGTATATAAATAATCTTGACTTTTGAACAATACAGGTATTTATGCTACTGGGCCGAGCGTAGCTTATTATCAGTGAATCCAGGGTTCATGTTTCACGATTCATTATAGTAAAAACGCGCTTCGCACTTTGGGGCTGTGGATACACTATAAAAGTAGCATTGAAATCCCACTATTCAGTTAGACAAGAGTAACCCAAGAGTTGACGGTGGATGCCGTTTGCTATCAGACTTCACTTTAGCTTAACACTTCAAAATTAGGGACGGCTATGGTGCGATAAAAAATTTGAAACAAACAAACGAGGAATTGTGTTTTAAAATATTGTATTTGCACTCGGTTAGCAGAGGTGCAAAATTTGCGTTACGACCAATTGTGGTTAAGTTAGAAGTGTTCTTCAACACAATAGACTATATGCGGCTATCGAACCCCAATTTTTAGCGTTATAAGCCCACAAGCTTACCGCTCGTCCATCGGTGACGTTCTGGTTAGGTCATTTCTAATCGCATCAAATGTTTGAAAAGAAAATCATATTCATGTTCAAATTCAAAACATTTGTCATCTGTATCTAAAGTGCTTGTAAAGTAATATATGAAATATGGCATTTTGGATGCAGTTAGTTTATCATTAATGATCGCTACAAATTACTACTCCATAATTTGATCATGTGTGAGGAAGGCAGGCCTTTATAACTTGTGTATATACGCCACTCATTTCTGGGTGTATAACTTGTCGCTATTTCATTCCCTGTGGATAATATAGAATTTATCATTTATAATAATTCATTGAAGCTTTTTTTGTTTCGTTTTTACTTTTCTACTTTCCATTACAGACTCCGAAGGCTAAACAATAATGTCCGCCGGAAGACATTTACCTTTGATGCCAAAGTAATTAAAGTTGCAGAGTCGTGGTCGAAAAATCAATTTCCTTTGGTCACTCGTTGTTGTTTAGACACATTTTATAGCGATTTCCTTATACTGGTGTCGCATTTTTTAAAGTCAGAACATCTATATAGCTCACCTGATATACCACTAGTGTGCTTTTGCATATTTACGAGTTTACCCTTTTTTTTTGTTTGTTTATTTTTACAACCTTTTCGTTGATAGACGTGCACCGCTGCTAATACACGAGTGCTTCTAATTATTTTGAAGCTATACAATGGATTATCTGTGCTGTGTCTACCAAGGTTATTGAAACCCACATTTTAGCATTATAAATCTACAGACATACCGCTTAAGGCTGCATGGACTTGGCAGCTAACGATGTGTTTATGTCTCTTGTAACTAGTATTTTACTCTCTTTTTTTTATAGTTACTTCAATATCGTTTTAATCACCTTAATAATGTTTTTAATATATGTTTTTTAATAAAAAAATTGCGCATATTAAGTAATGTTAATATTCTAAGCAAGCAGAGACTTTGATATATTGAGATTAAATTTCGTTAGTACTTGAAGCTATCCATATTATAAACCAATGCCTTCTAATCTTTATAGATTGCAATTTTAATGGATATTGATATACAACATTAAGTACTTACAAACAGTTTGATATATAGGAGTTGACTTTATTAATTTATGATAGTTTTTATTCCTGATTTCTGTAATCAGATTACCCAGAAATTGAATAATTTATACACATACTTTACAATTGGTATAAATATATATCAAAGCTACAAGTGTTCATACGAACTTCAACTTTAAATCTTTTTCACGTGATATTCATGAAATGCCATTTCATAAAACTCATAATTTTCTCTACCTGCGTATAGGAACCATGGGATACCTTTTATGAAATATTTTTGCGAACGAAACAAAGAATAGGGATCTCCAAGTTTTGGCCTACAAGTAGCATTATTTATGTGGTTAAATTTATCTAAAGAAAAATGTTTACGATTAGATAAACCTTCACCTACCCCACTAGAAACGGCTATCAAACTATAATCTAATACTCATGTCTGACTGTTAAAACAAATTATGTCCCATTACAGAAGTTCAAGAAATGGTTAACAAATAAAACTAGATTCATCGAAACGGTTTTTTAAGGTTTCTGCAGCAAATAATTATTAAAAAAAAACAATCCCAACAACAAATCAAACTTCCAAGAGTAGTTGTAAAATAAAGCAACATACAACACAAACCTAAAATAAAAATGTGTAATTCCATTACACTATTTTAAAGAAATGTCTTAACAATATAAAACTACAATGCTTATGCAACTTTTCAAAAATTTCACGAAGTAACCACGATAAATGATTAGCTAGGATCTGAAGAAAATTCCTTGAAACAAAGTAAGCATATTCATTAAAAAAAATGAAAAGTACCAAGAAAACAACTGATAATCTATCAACAACTCTCATGATTCTGTTCCTAAAACAAGGCAGCAAAAGACTAATGTGGGGAGGAGTATTGCGTGTTGTTCAAATAGAAATACAGGATTTATTAAATAGCGATTCCTTGAGAAAAAGTGTTAGGTGAACTATTAAAGTAACGCAAAATTTCTGGCATTACTTGACACCAGTAAAAAAGCAAACTAAAGTTACTACTCTCGGAAAATCTGCCAAATATTTTTTTAAAATGTTTTAAAAAACAACCTCATCAGCCTTATAAAAAGAAAACTTTCATCACACCCTGCATATTAAAAAAAAGGGTATCCCTTACTTAGACTTACCCACGCTAGTCCATTACCGATAGTAAACTTGCAGAAGACAAACTTCATACAGCCATGATACAGGTAATTACAATATCATACAGCCAATGTGTAGCTTTGCGCTTAACTACAAACAAACGAATACAATATCATTTATGAACGCTAAGCCCAATATTTCTTAAGTAAAATTACATTTAATTTAAAGGTGAACTTCAGAAACGAAGGGAAAAATGAAAATTTGGGAGTTTTAATCATCACTTCTAACTAAAAGTTACTTAGAGAGGGTGGTCACGTGAAGCACATTAGTTCTTAATTAATTAAATGTATTCTAATCCTTTCACAGTTCTTGTTGTGCTATTTTCTTTCGTAATTAATTAAAGGTATTTTAATCTTTTCACAGTTCTTGTTGTGCTATCTCCTTTCATAGTTAATTAATCGCATTTCTCATCTTTTCATAGTTAATTAATCGTATTCTCATCTTTTCACAGTTCTTGTTGTGCTATCTCCTTTCATAGTTAATTAATCGCATTTCTCATCTTTTCATAGTTAATTAATCGCATTCTCATCTTTTCACAGTTCTTGTTGTGCTATCTCCTTTAATAGTTAATTAAAGGTAATTTCATCTTTTCACAGTTCTTGTGCTATTTCCTTTTGTAATTAATTAAATATATTCTAATCTTTTCACAGTTTTTGTTGTGATATCTCCTTTCATAGTTAATTAAAGGTATTCTTATCTTTTCATAGTTCTCGTTGTGCTATCTCCTTTCATAGTTAATTAAAGATATTCTCATCTTTTCATAGGTCTTGTTGTGCTATTTCTTTTCGTAATTAATTAAAAGTATTCAAATCTTTTCACAGTTCTTGTTGTGCTATCTCCTTTCAAAGTTAATTAAGGGTATTCTCATCATTCTTGGTACTTTGCTATTTCCAAATTAACTAAAGGTATTCTCGTTTTTTTTTCAGTTCTTAGTGTAGTGTGCCATTTCATTTTTGGTTTAGATAATACATCCCTGATGTTTGGATATGTCTCGTATTACAATATGAAAATATTTCATATCAAGTTTTTATTGAAATTTGTTCATTATTATAGTCCTTGCTAGTGTTAGAAAGATCAAATACACAGAACAGAAAAACTATTTTTCATAACCTAGGACAAATAAAAATATTTGATTCTTGAACATTTCAGCACAACAAAACGATTACACTTGAATTTTTTTAAAACAAATTTTAGGAATAGCTAGCATTTTTTTTTAAACTAATTAAATTTTATTCATTGTTAGTTATCATGTTGAGAGTAATGTTAGTAAGATACTTAAATAGTTCATAACCTTTCTTATTATACAATTGTTTTGGACATTTTTCATACAAGTTTTGTATCTATAATATTTTTCTAATTGGAAGACTATAATTCCTAGTTTGTCACAAAAACTAAATGTAAAATTCTTCCGGCACTCACTGGTACTGAGTAGGGAACTTATTTTTTTAAGGCAGTACTAGTACTGGGACTTATTTGAGCTGCTTTGTCGTTTTTTATTATTACATGTAGATTTTTTTCTTTTTCAAAAACAGGTCCACTTCACCCAGCTGAGTATCTACTTTTTTCTGAGAATTTCATCTCTGCTTGTGCCCACTTCACACAAATTTATGCACTAAATTAATGATACAATTCATTATGGGTAACACTATCAAATATCTACATCCAGCTTCAAAAATTACAGTTGTAACAAGTACTTAGAAACTTACAAACCCAGGTTCTACATAAATCACTTTATTTAAATGATATTCAAGATGGGCCCTTGGTTCTAAAAAAACAAAGACTATAAATTTTAAGTTTATGAGAGAAACTCAAAAGTTCAAAATGATGCCATTTATTTCCCTAACTAAATATAAATAATATTTTAAGACAAAAATATAAAACCCTATAACCCCATCACTTTTGGAAAGTGGACCTTTCTTCATCACAGGCAAGCAGGGAATGAGATATTTTTTAAACAAAATAAAACATATTGTAGTCTGAGTACAGTAGAGTTACATACATGTTGCATCATTTAATAGTGAAACCACAGGAGTGATCCATTCCATAAAATAATAAAACTTTGTGAATTGACTAAATAACTAATATTGAAATGGTGTATTTAAGTGTTTTACACTCACAAAAAAGAAAACTATCATTCTATTGGTATTAGAAGAACTTGCGGAATGCTACGAGCTTCTTTTTTGTGAGTGTAGATCACTTAAACACACCATTTCAATTTTCGATACCTCACTACTATAAAGGCTTGGTTTAGTCTGATATTTCATTGGTGGTAGTATCCAGGGTCACTGACGAGGAGTGGAATTCTCCAAAACTAGTCTGGCTCACGGACACACCCCCAATGAAAGAATAGACCATTCCAGCTTTTACTTGTTGTTAAACAAATGTTTAAACAACTCTATTCAACAACTAATATACTAATATACAATAACATGGAAAAAAGCACAACAGTTTCATTTTCTTACATATTTTTGTCTGGACTGAAAATAGTACAAGTAAAAGCTTAGTGACAGTTGTATGTATACTTCATCACAATTTATTCCCCAGTAAATTACTAAACATTTTCAGCACTAATTATTTACAAGGTAAGATCCATAGTAAATCTCTTAATTCCAAACACCTAGATTTGCACAAAAATATATCTTATGGAAACAAAATATTTGACCAAGAAGCAAACCTGCACATTACATAAAAATATTGTAAGTTTAATTTATAAATGATTTTTAATGCAAGAAAATGGTTTTAGAAAACAATGACTCCAAAAAATATGCATAAAATTATATATACGCACACAAGAAAAATTCCCCGATAACTACATATCAAAAAATAACAGGTGTTATTTTATAACCAACTAAAACGTTAAAATTAATTGTATTTTGAGAGAAAATTGGAGAAGTTAAATTTTTTAAAGATCTTCATGTGCACCTCGTGTCAGCTCAACACTGTCTGAATCTGGTCCAGGATACTGTGGATAGTTCATGCCAATATAGGCAAAAAAGTAGCGAATAAACTCTTTAGGAGGATGCTCATACATTTCCTGAAGCGAAACAGTTCCACTACTGTCTTTATCTAACTTGTGAAAGAGCTGAAAGTATAAAATGTATTATTTTTTAAATTCAATATTGAATCAAACTAATCAAAGTAATGCAAAACATTATTCATCTAGAAAAAATAACTATTAAAATAGTAATAAAAATGTGTAGGTAATAAACAAAGAAAACACTGACTGGGAGAATAAGTGAAATAACTGGATCTGTGATTTGCCTTTGAAGCAAATAGTTTTAGTTTGTTTTTTTCATGTAAGATGGACAAAATATAAACTGTATTTTGACATTTCCACTTTAGACTTGCAGCTTGTAGATAAAGAAATACTTAGAGTTTCAACAGAGCCTCCAGTATTACTATACAGTTTATTAAGCTACAATTTGAGAGTTTGTACTTGACCTTTGGACATAAATATGAACAATTTATAAATTATTTCAGTGTATGTCTTACAGTACTTCTTGCTTCCCTGTGTAGTTTCATTGAACTTTATTGTAAGAAAAAAAAATGTCTATAAACTCATTGCTAAAGAATGACAATGGTGTTACATGAGACTCATGCCTGAAAAAACAGAAAAAACTCTTGTTTGGTGGTTTAACCATGAAATTCAGAACTCACAAAAGAATATTTCCAAAACTACTGAATAATAATAAATTTCCACAATTTGACCCAGTTATACAAGGTGGTAATGGAAAAAACCCACAAAAACAGATGTTACCTAGTAGATATCATATGATACCAAAACTAAAAAATTAAGAATGAAAGTGTTGAAAGAAAGATCCTGATCATCAACTGTTATATGGCACTTGTTACGTATTAGAATTTCAAATGGCCTGAAATTGAGTTAACTAATAAATTTAGATTTAGTAGCTAAATTGTACTTTAGATTTAGCAGTTAAGTAAAAGCTGATATATAGTCAGTTTATGATATTTGCCAATAAGATTGATACACACAGTTTTCTTTTATAATGCAAATACATTTTAATATATAAACACAACAATACAATTTACAATAACAGTTATTACAAACAATGATTTATAAACAAAACTTTCACAAACTTACAAGCAATATAAAGTCTTCTTTCTAATCTGGAACTTCCTTGATATCTTATCGAGTGTTCACGATGAGCAAGTTAATTACAAATTAATGTAGACATGATTCGCTTAATGGGAAGCTAGCTAGCTTTGTCCTTTGCCACACATGCTGAGTTTTTCACCATTGAAGTTAGATAACGTTTTTGTAAAAGTATTAATGTTCGATGTGAATCCACTGAAGTTAAATGAGTTGTAATGTTCGAACTTTGTAAATGCTCCTGGTCAAATATCTGAAGTTTTTCGATTGGTAAGCATTATAACAATCACAGTTACAGCTACCGCACTGTATAGCACACTGACTATAGCAAACTAATAATACACACTCTTTTTGTTCACATCTCGTTGGTTATATTTATAGCCATGCATAGGCATTCTAGAAATTTCAGTTTTACATAATAATACTGATTTAAGCATTTATGTATACATATATATTGTTGATTCTTACTTTCAAGAATCTTCTACAACTTTTGAAAAAAGGCGAGAGTTTCACAATACATATCTAACACTACAAGCTATGCATGTTTTTAAATATGAACTTAATCTAAACGTTGATATTAAAAAAACAAATTTGTTACAACTACATCTATTGAGTATTAAAAATTGGCTTTAGACAATTTTTAACTATGATATTATATACATATTGATAACATTACATTAAATACAATACATTATTCAAAAGATTACAAAACTTCAATAATAATTACAGTATAGAACACAACCAATACAAATAACCTTATGATCATAAGTACATCAGCACAAATGTTATCAAACCTTATGACATGGATTATCTTAAAACCATATTCTCATAGTAATAAACTGTAATTTAACAGCCTTATGTTTGTTTTCTATTTCTTTCTCTCTTTCTACTTTTCTTTCTTTCTGTCTTTCTTTCTCTCTGTCTTTTTCTTCCTCTCTTTTTCTGTCTTTCTCTCTTTCTTTTCTTTTTTTTTTAAATTATATATCCCATAGTGGGTAACAATACTAAGACCATGTCCTCAGGACAGAACTTATGTTCTTCAAAAGCTGGGATAGGTTTCAAAAAAGCAACAGGAATTTTCTGGTTAGATTTTCTGATTAACTGACAGGTATAACAAGTTTTACAAAATTGTAAAACGTCTTGCCTAATTTCTCATAATTTTGTCACATGTCTTGTTGCCACCTAAATGATCTCCCATGGGGTGTTCATGGGCAACTTTCAATATTTCAGAACTATAAGCTTTGGGAACAATGATTTGATAAACAATAGCCCAGTCTTTTGAAGCTGGCACATTTGGTGGTCTCTATTTCCTCATAAGCACATCATTTTTGAAAAAATAACCATTTGGAACTTTCTCCAGTTCATTGTTTGGGAGTGCATATTTAAACAGTGAAGACATCTGTGGATCCTTTTCTTGCTCACCAATCAGTTTACTTTTAGTAAATGGAAGTTCACCAAGTGAATCAGATCCTTCACGTCCATCATTATCCCTTACCGAGGAATCATCAGTAGGACAGTTATCTACAAGATCCTTGTCAGATACAAAAAATGTTTGAGACAAATCTATAATATCGTCCTCTGAATCCATGTCTATCATTTGTTTCACCTTAATTTCTTAGTCTGAGCTTGAGTCACAGCACACGAAGGAAACACATCTGGATTCTCCTCAATGACATCATCATCCTGAGATGAAACAGTGATTGGCTCATTAACAATTTTAGGTTCGGCAACAACTTTTGCTCCAGCCAAATCATTTCCCAACAACAATGATACACCCTTAATTGGCAGGTCTTACTCCAACCACAACTGGTCCCAAAACTAGGTCTGATGCTAAATAAATGTTATGAAGAGGAACATTAACAAAGCCACCTCAATACCCTGAGCAATAACAGACTCACCAGTGGCAAAACTCGAATCTAAACGCAATATACCTTCTAACAACAATGACCGAGTCATCCCGGTATCACGTAGAATATGTATGGGTGTGGGATTGCCAGTGTCATTTATCAGAGACACAGAACCAACAGACACAAAAGGTCTAAATTCCTCCCTGATTACATCAGCCTTTATATCAGTGGCCATATCAACAACATCGGGTGATCTGGTGAAATCACATACATACGTGGACACAAATGCAATGCCTCCTTTTCTTTTTCAAACATCAACAATCGGACATAACATGACCAGGCTTTTTACAAAAATGGCAGACAGGTCTTAATTGTTTTAAAGAAGTTTTATCCTGACTGTCAAAAAGATTTCAAACCAGACGAGCTGGAGTTTTTAGAAGAAACCTCAACTTTAGTGGATTGAACAGATACAGGTTTTTGTTGAGATGGTAGTAATTTCTTTTTAAGAAAAGTGGTTTTATGTGTTAAAGTGTAGTCATTGGAAAGAGTGGCTGCTTCCTGTAGTGTTTCAACTTTCTTTCATCCAAGTAAGTTTTGAGGTCGTCACATGCACAACATTTAAAATTCCTCAATTAGACATAATTGTCTTAGTATGTCGAAACTGTTGCCAATATGCATAGACTTGCACCATCAATCAAAATAAACCTCTTTTTCACGGGCAAATTCCATACAAGTTTGATTATTTTGTTTGCAATAACCTTGAAACCTTTGGCGATAAGCCTCTGGTACTAACTTGTATGCTTTGAGAATAGCTGCTTTAACCTTATCATAATTCGTACAATCTTCTAAAGAGAGAGTGACATAAGCTTCTTGTGCTTTACCAGTTAAAACACTTTGTAATAGCAATGACCATTTTTCATTGGGCGATTCCATGGGTTGGGCAACCTTCTCAAAATGTTGGAAATATTTATCAACTTCATTTTCATTGAACGGTGGTACTTTTAACATATTGATTAAGTTCAAAGTTGTCATTTTACCTTGGTCGATCAATGTTGAGTCTAATTTCCATTTCTTATAGCCTAATTTCTTTTTCAGCTTCAATGCAAGCTTTTTCGGGCCTCGATAAGCTTATTTTCTCTTTCAGCTTCAATACAATCTTGTTCTTTCTCTTTCCCAGCTTCAATACAAGCCTGTTCTTTCTCTTTCTCAGCTTCAATACAAGCTTGTTCTTTCTCTTTCAGCTTCAATACGAGCTTGTTCTTTCTCTTTCAGCTTCAATATGAGCTTGTTCTTTCTCTTTCACCTTCAATACGAGCTTGTTCAAGCTCAAGTTGTTTGAATTTTAGCTGGATCTTTATTTTTTATCTTTATCACTCAACCCTGATTGGCTAGTAGGGACACTAGAGTATTCCTCTAATGCTTCCTTGACATTTTAATTTCTAGTTCTAAGACTTTGGCAATTTTGAGCAATTCCTTTTTGTTATATGCTTCTAGTTGTTCTAGGGAGGGTGATTCAAGAATATCTTGATAATCAGACATGATCAAGTCTTGTTGGCACTGACAGATATAAATTCAATTGTGATTTCAATTTTAATTTAGATCAATTTTGTCTCTGATTCAGATCTTGTACACAAGCCCCCAAATTATTATATTACATATTAGAATTTCAAATGCCCTGAAATTGAGTTAACTGATAATTTAAACTTAGTAGTTAAATTGTACTTTAGACTTAGCAGTTAAGTAAAAGCCAATATATAGTTAGTTTATGATATTTGCCAACAAGATTGATACACACAATTTTCTTTTTTAACACAAATATGTTTTAGTACATACACAACAATACAATTCACAATAACAGTTATTACAAACAATGATTTATAAACAAAAGTTTCACAAACTTGCAAGCAATATAAAGTCTTCTTTCTAGTTTGGAACTTCCTTGATATCTTATAGAAGGTTCACAATGAGCAAGTTAATTACGAGTTGATGTAGGTACAAATCGCCGGGAAGCTAGTTAGCTTTGTTCTTTGTTACTCACCAGCCACACATGCTAAGTTTTCCACCATTGAAGTTATGTAATGTTTTCATAAAAGTACTAATGTCTGATGAGAATCCACCAAAGTTAAATGATTTGTAATGTTCAAACTTTGTAAAGGTTCCTGGTCAAATATCTGAAGTTTTTTGATTAGTAAGCATTATAACAATCACAGTTATAGTTTCCAAAGTTTATAGCCCACTGACTATAGCAAACTAATAATAGATACTCTTTTTGACACGTCGCATTGGTTATATTTATAGGCTTGTTGAGGCTTTCTAGAAAATTCAGATTTACGTAACAATACTGAGCTACATTTAAGGGTTTACGTACACACATATATTGTTGATTCTTACTCTTGAGAATCTTCCGCAACTTTGAAGAATAAGCAGGAGTTTTGCAATACATATCTAACACTGTAAGCTATGCATGTTTTAAATATAAACTTAATTTAAACAAATGTTGATATTAAAATAAATATATAATAATAAATTCGTTACATACTAAAGTAGCTAGGATGAATACTAAAACACAACTATTCTCTAGTGAAAATTATTTAACATTGAATTAATCAGAATAGAAGTCGAAAGGGTGAGAAGAATTAGTCAGAACTGACAAATAAGCTGATCTATATATAATAAAGTAACTTGTAACTAAGAAAATCAACTGAAAAGTGGTCAGTAAAGAATGCAATATTATAGCAATGTCTGCAGACTAAAACTGAAGATCATTTCTCAAGAAACATTACCTGAAAAAATGCATAGTGAAAGCTCAAAGACATAATATCAATATTAGAAACTCTTCAAAACATTTTTAAAACATCCATTGAAGATAGAAAACAAGAAACAGAAGAATCTACAACAACAACAAGACTGTAAAGTAGCACTGTCAAAGATAAAGTAAAAATAAGGACTATGAGAATATGCTAGATTCATTCTAAATATTTGCAAACTTATGGCAGCGCTTTCAGATAGAGGAAGAGTTTTATAAATGTATGTAATTCATGCAAACTGAAACCTATAATTATCATATCATGAATAGCACATGAATAACATGAGAAGTTCTTAATGAAACAGTCAAACTCTTACAATTTAATACACACACACACACACACATATAGAAAACTTACACATACAGTACTTAAAGCCATAGGACAAGCCTATGGCTTTAAATAACCAGCCAGTTTGTAGCAAAAGTATTGTAAAAGCACTGTAAAGCACATATTCTCTAACTTATATTACATTGTGCTTAAGGCATTTACTTTAAATAGTAATAAAAATGTTCAACAATAGAGTATCAAAGTGCTATATGAATAACAAAGTTTAAGGTACCTCTTCTACAGTCTCAGGAATGTTCACTTTACTCATAAGGAAGACTTCCATAAACTCTTTAAGAGAAAATTCTTCATGACCTTCTGCATTTGTTATAATTTCATACCTAAAAATGAAAAGAAAAGAGCATACAAGTGTTTCTGTCACAAATGCAGATTTTAATCATTCCAATATTTTAACACGAGTGCTTTAAATTTTGACATCCCAAAAGTATCAGTACATTCATCTCAAAATTGTTAATAATTCACTTTGTAGTAACAAAATAAGCTTATTTTATACTTTAAAAGTTGATAAGGTACATAGGTAAAATCAAAGGTACATAGGTAAATTCAAAAATATAAGATAAACTAAGCAAAACATTCTGCTTATCCTATGCTCTTCACATAAAATGACAATGAGAACTAAACTACCATAACTGCAATGTATGGTGTTTACATTGGCTTTAAGTAATATTGTTTTATTGAATAAAGACTAATGGTGAATCAAGCAATTAACATGAATAAACAATAAGCACTGAATAATTGGAATTCAAGATATGTTAAATCTTGCTGTAAAAGTTACATGCAAAAATACCTTAGTATTAAGAAAATGTATCAACAATATCAAAACACTGAAAGTGCCACATTAATACTAAACACTACACATCTTAATTTTAAATATTTACTTTGCATTAGTCTCCAGCCCTTATTAGATAAGTTATAGTTAAAATATTCAGCAATATCCACTAAATGTAATGATGTAAAGTGCATAATATTAGTTATATTACAGAAAATGCATATAAATCACTAACTGATACTAAACACTGAAAGAATAATCATAAAGTAACGACATGATTGCATATTATTTACATGATAAAGTTTGCCTAGAGATCACTCATCAATACAATAATCATAAAGTAACGACATGATTGCATATTATTTACATGGTAAAGTTTGCCTAGAGATCACTCATCAATACAATAATCATAAAGTATGGATTAAACAAAATATTTCAAACTTGTATCTTAAGAACCTGGTGTTCAAGTTCTGGGAGTTTATTTTCACTAAACCATGTAGTTTATTACTACACAATGGATTTTCTGTGCTGTGCCCACCATGGGTTTCACAACCTGGTATTTAGTATTCTGTACTGAGGCACTTGCTGATACATACAGTCCCAGAATATAAGAGATTGGAAACAAAGTATATATATTATGTGCACATGTATGCCAAAATCTAGAATGAACCTTAATTTTACTGGAAGAGGGCGATTGGTAACAGATTAAAGTGACGTATGTATATATATACATGAATACATAATATATATATATATACACATACCTTTGCATTAATTGATGTCATTGTCAGAGTACTTTGTAATGTTTTTTTTGTATAATGTTATTCTATACAGCGTGTTAACTTTCTAATGATGCATAAAAAATCCATTACATGATTTCATTGGTATTAAACCAAGCTCAAAAGCTAACATGATAAGAACTTGAAGTCATATGGTAGTCTCGTTCAGCACTGCCCCCTATATTAAAATTTTTTTTCGCATGCCACAAGCCTTGAACTCTCACGTACTTCGTGACCAACATAGTTCAACTGCGTCTCACATATAAATCATCATGCAACAACCCTCCACCAATAAGAGTGCAACACACCCTCCTGATGCATGTGACTCCCTCTATTCAATTCTACCGAACTATCACTTCGAGATTAGGCAGAAAACAAAACACCAGTTTGAAGTGGGTGGAAAGTGTAAGAGGAGGTAAGTATCTATCAGAAATCTACTTTCAGTATAGGAAAATGATAACTTCTGATACAGTGCATACCTCTTCTCACCCGTATAGCTAGAATCCCACATTGAATAGGCAGAGGGATGAGTGTGTAGGATAGAAATAAATATCCTTCGAAAGCATCCAAAGAACACCCATGAACTATGATCCCTGTTGAGAGTGGGAAACTTCTGTACCAGGTATACTCTGCACCCAGTGTGGGGAATAGGTGTTGCATACATGAGCGAAAAATGGAAGGAGCACAAGCAACAAGGGAGAGAAAACCAGTTGGGTCAGAATCCAAACCACAGTATACCGGAAGCTCAATTCCATAGAAGAAAGACCATAGAAAAACCATCTACAGACAGAGAAATGGGGAAAGGTAAAATGGATGTGCTTCAAGGTGTAAAGTGGCTAGGGCTCAACATGTCATACACAGCCAGTCAACTCTAGTAAAAAAACCAAGCAATATTGGAAATAGAAATTCCAACAAGTGGTAGGAGGGTCCATACTGTTTTCACCTCAAGTTACATAGAACAGAAGGCTATAAAGTGCAAGCCAATCTATGAAATTGGCACGTATACACAAATCCAAAACCAACTATATATCTGGGAACCTGACATCTGAACAATGGTAAGAATGAGTGTGCCAAAGTGGCAGGTCACATTAAACTCAAACCCAATCACACTGGTACTAGAATGTGCAACATCAGTCTCGGGCAGGGAAAACACACTGAGGTGGAGTGTGAGAACCATCACTCCAATCAACATTATCATCCGGATAAAATCACACAGAAACCGGAGAGCTACACCACCCTCTGGGTCCCACCATACAAAACTGGATCACCTCTACAAATATATATTGCAAATGCACCCTCCGGATTGATCCACATAGAGGCTGGGTGCCACATCAACTACCGAGACCCACCACACAGAAGTGGAGCACATGATTGGAGAATCACACACTATCTACACCAGCAGAACATCACCACCCTACTTTCTACTGAATGGAAGTGATCACATTCAGAAGGATACCTCCATGGTCCACTATCCCAGCAGTTCGGAACTACAAAGTGGCAAAGACTCCCATACTGCACTAGAAGAATAAGGGGAGATAATATGTGGTGGAGAGTCCAGAGGAATACCAACATCAGTGACAGTGCAAAGGATGACCACAAAAACCCTATTTTAAAAGGCAGACCATCCCTGATTTATTCAATCAGAGGGATGGCAGGGATGGGCAGTTAACCCCTTCTGTTTTTATCCAAGCTAGTCCATGAGTTAGTAAGGTCCGGAACGGGTATATTAATGAAGCAAATATATCGTAAGGAAAACCTATTAGTGATCTAGTGGAACACCCCATCTCAACAGTGTGTGTTATTAGCTGAAGGTATATTGTTTTATTATTAAATCAGCATATTAATGGATATATTAATGAAGCAAATATATATCGCAAGGAAAACCCACTAGCAATCTTGTGAAACAACCCATTTCAACAGTCTGTGTTATTGGCTCAAGGTATGTTGTTTTATTATTAAATCAGTATGGCTGTACAGTGCAAATTTGAGATAAAGGAAACATACCTGGACAGGCAACACTCACCATAGAAAGAAAACAAGATATATATATAAAAAAGAAAACTTACCCAGTCACAGCCTCACTAAAGTTTGAAGGATGGTAACAGGTGGAAGATGGTATCCTGACAAGGAAGAAATATTCACCCAATGAAGACAATGGGAGATGAACGTATGAGGTATACTCCACATGCCCGACTGAAGAATTTCTTCCAATGGATGATGGAGGTGAAATGCCAGAGAAAAGGTAAGGTGCTGTATCTGATGCAACAACTGGAACAGATTTCAGGAAGAAGGAGACAAGAATGAAGATGCCAATTCAATCAACAGTGAAATCCAATTGGTAAGGGTATCAAAAGAAGAGTCATGGACAGAATAACATTGCCAGGGAATAAAGAGGCAGGAACAGGAACCACGGAATGGAAGCTGTACAGGCAATGTAACGATAACGATGAAGAGCACATACAGGACATAGAAGTCTATCAGGATTAGACAAGGGAATAAAGGTGTGTGATAAGGCTACTCGATAACCAGGTATGGAAGAGACAAAAGTCTCATGATCAAACAGCAAAGTGAGGAAATCCATAACAAGAGGAACAATAGGCCTAGAAGCACAACCAAAAACGTCTGCACTAGATCACTGCAAGAAGTAATAGTTCGGTAGATTCAAATCGGAGTGTCACATGATGATTTATATGCAAGATGCAGTTAAACTACATGGATTGTGAGTATGTGAGAGTTCAAGGCTTGTGGCATGCCAAAATTTGTGCATATAGAGGGCAACACTGAACAAGAAGAAAAGGCATGCGAGAAAAGGCAATGTATCATACCAGAAATTAATAATAACTCTAGTTTTATTAGCCTATAGATTTGTCTAGGTGTTTAATTTCTACTTTATCTCATCCTTTGTTATCAGAACAGTATAGTGTCAATATTTTGTAATGGTTTAAGGCTCAAGTGTTTGTGTAGAACTATTATAGTAAAACAAGATTAACGTGAGTCATATTAAGAATAAGTATTATGTATATAATTTCCCCAAAAATTATATTTTTTCCCAGCTTAAGAATAAATACAACTTCTCAGATTTGTGATTTCTTCTGATAAATTACCAATAACAAAATCATTGTATTTCATACCTGCTCCCTTGCATTACACATTAACAACTTGGCCTATAAACATGTACCTGTGATATAACTACTTGTGTACATGTAGGTAAGCATGACGAAAATATCAGTAAAGTTATCATTAAAGATAAAATCAACCCAAATGCTTATAATAATATATAATGATGTATACTAATGTTACAAATCATCACAAATGTTACCAGATTTGACCTTCTATTTAAAGTAACTAAAGTAAAACACTGCAGTGGAATTATGATGACACATATTTAAATACATGTGTAGTAAATTTGATAAGTTCTTCTAATATCTGAATAATGCCTGAAATATTGATCATCCATCCTTCACAAGTAAACAACAATCTTTTAATATCATCTTAGCTGTGGTTCAGATTTTATACTTGTTTTTCAAAATAATGAAAAGGCTTAGCTATGAGGTTGTACAAATTGAGTTTTCTAAAAATTAAAGCTCATGCTACTTAAAAATGTTATAGCAGTTCATAATTTTGAAAAAAATCTTACAATTCATGAATATTTGCAATACTACTAGTTTCAGATTTACATGTTACTAAGAAGAAAGTTTACAATAACATCACCCTCTAGGTAGTCTTGTTAGGGAATAAAGAGGGTCACTTTAAAATTCTTGAGATATGGCGAATTTAGCAGCTAAACACCATAATCTCAGGCTATATTCACAGTTCAAAAGATACCCATAACTTTTGATTTCTTTTATAATGTAATCAATATTTTCACACATATGAAAACTTACAACTTCTACTACTTGAGTAACTAGTTAAAAACTTGTATAGCATAGTTCTATTTAGAATTCACAATAACGTTTTCAAAGAACATAAAAAGATTTTCCCCTTGTGAGACCATATTGATTTACCAATGAAATTTTAAACTTTGCTAAATGTGAAAGCATGAATATGAGTCCTATTAACACCTGCAAATTAAGCTATTTCTCTGAGAGAAAAACCTCAAAACTGAGAAATGACAAAGTGAAACTCATGTTTCCAAACATAATGAGCTAAGTGGTGCTACTACACTTATTAGTGTAAATAAACAACTGGATAGCATTATTATAGATCTTTACTTTGAGCAACAGTCACTCAAAAGAAGATACTGGTATAGTTCTCATCAATAAACTGAAACAAACATCCTGTGAAAAGAAAGAAAATTGCGAAATTTAAACAAAAATACTGGGAAGCAACACACAAATTATCCACGAAACCTTAACAGCAAAAAGTTCAACATAATGTTTTGACCAAGATGTCTCCAGAACGGAGTTTCTTAACTGACTTTGAGAGCCAGCAAGCCCCTCTAAGCCCTTCTGAATAAAAAAAGGGGACATTTGCCCTAAAGATTTACCAGATAGTGAATGTAAGTTCAGAAAGCAAGGTACAGGATCACATTGTGCTGGAGATGGCTGTGCAGAGTCTTCTAGGCGTAGTCGTTTACCAAAAAGCGGAGTTTTACTATTTTTTCATTTGGATTGGGAGGATCCACAATTAAGAAAAAAGTTTCAGTTTCCACTGACCCCACCCGCCATGGAGTCCTACAAGGGGATGCACTACAATGTCAAACAAGGACACTGCAGCAAAGCCAGGATTTCATGAGCACTATACCCAAACACCAGCATCAGACATGATGTCCACAACACCCATTGAGAATGCCCAACACTGGTACTCAGTTGACCCTAGCCCAAGTGAACCAGCTGATTGTCCCTTGGGGGTCACCCCAAGGCCACCCTCCTTCTGGAATTCAAGGCCAAAGTGGTGTGTTTCAGTGCCCCAGACACCACTCAACTACCAAGATCCTCTCCTCCCCTTCATGGGTCGCCACGCACGGCAAACACGTGGGTGGATGTTTAGATCCCAGAAGAAGTAACTGAAAATACAGAACCTTCCCCCCAGGTCCCCTCACCACGTACAGGAATCCATGTCGAGGGGGAACACTAAAGTAGCCCAAGACTTGGTGGCTGGTGCTATCAGCCAGTTGCCTTCTCTCTCTGGGAGGTAATTTAAAATTAAGGGCTGTGGCAGGTAGCCCAGAACTTAGTAGCTCTACCATGAGGCAGCCCCAAACTCACTGAGCCATGCCAGCCAAAAGCTGAAAAAACTTCATTTAACTCTTTCAGCACGGGCTCAGTTCCTGGGACCGACCTTATAACCATTTTGTGCTTGTTATAGTTTTCATGCTATAACTTTTAAATTAGTAAGCATATGTCAACAAAATTTGGCAGATTATCAGTAAACAATACAATGCTTTCATATGCAAAATATCAAATATTTATATTAAGTCTTAAGGTTCGTAAAGCAATGTTTTTCTCATGCCTTTTTATTCATTTTGCATGTTGCCTATGCAATATCCAATGTAATTTTTATCTTAAGATTAAAAATACTTTTATGCATCAGAAAATTTTCAAATTTCACATGCAAAATCTTTATAATCTCCAGATAATTATCAACTTTTTTGTTTAAAACTATATTTTATTTGTTATTTTCACTAGTGTATTTCTGTATGGGTTGGTTCGATATGACCAACTTCGTAACCACCATAAAAAATTAGGAAACAAATAGAAATTATGCCTCTTTCATTCTAGAATGACAACAAGTTATAACATGAAAACATAAATGTTTAGACTAAATAGCTTAAATCTCATAACATTATACATTTATATATATTTATTATTTTTATTAGATTGACCTTTCAGCCGTGCCTGGCTAACAATACAGAAGTTACAATGACGTGGCAAATGTGCACTCATGTTACCGTATCAAGTAGTGTAAACTGACCTTTAGTCTTTATAAAATGACCGTCTTGGCTGTGTTTTAGTAGACTAGTATTTTGTAAAATACAGTCACATTTAATTATTATACATTATACATGTATATAGATTACTGCTATTTAAAAATCAGTTCTTAAACTTATTTTTCTTAAACATAGAAAAGTAAATAAAGAAGCAAAGAAAACAATTATCTCTTCTAGTTATGACCTTTGTACTCGGTTGCTGCTTGACGTAGGTTGCTAAGCCTTTTAAAATTTCACACATGGAGGATATGAAACAAAATATTTTTTATAGGTTTCATACATACAGTTAAATAACCAAAAAATCATAAATTACTATATCAATACCATAGAATTCCACTATAATTTCTCAAGCTTAGTAACTAAGCTGTATTTCAGTCTAAAGAAATACAAAATTTTGAGCAGGCTAAAGACACAACCTACCTTCTTGAAATCTTGGTTCAAAAGAAAGAGATGGCTTCCCAAGAACTTAAAATGGCTAAGAAAACCACTAAGGGGACATTCCAAGCTTTTAATTGGTTATTCATGTCATATATAGAAGTAAGTGTATGTAAGGGTGTGTTTCCAAAAATGGAAAAAGGTGGGCAGGGTGCCACTGTGTTTGATTTATTACATGATCAATATCTTAGCAAATAAAAAAGATAAGAGGTTCTTTACTGATATGAAACTATAGACTTAGTATTTTGACATCACAAACATCTAATTTGAACCAGTGCTGCATTCAACATATCACATGACACACAAAAATCAATGTTTAAACTGTGTTTTTTAATATTTACTTTTAAATTAAGAAATTGAGTAGGACATAATACTAATATTTGAATTATAAACTACAGTTTGATATCATACTTATTGACATAAATTCATGAAGTAGTAGTTCAATAAAATTTTAAATGCGAGTCAACAAACGTGATGACATGGCCTTTCACCCGTGACCCATATGGAAAGGGTTAATCAAACAAGTAATAATAAGATATAATAATAGAAATATTCTGGTAGTTGAAATAATCAAAGTTGTAATAATCAGATATATTAATTTAGATTATTTTCAAGTCATGACTTGTAACACTAATGATTAAGTTGAACAAACTTAAATTAATAAAAAAAAGATTTAAAAAAATCATTATGGCAATCTTTCAATTACTTGGACTGTTGGATTAATTGGAAACACTAATTTCGATTAGTTCATTATTTTCATGACTAATCAATGTAACTGATGCTCATATGTAATTGACTATATCAATTAATCAAATTAATTGCCCAAATCTAAATGATATCCATATTTTCCTTCAGTGATGGAATCAAACTGTAGTTGAATTTAAGTGATCTTTCATGATTATATTTACTAGCAATAATTCCTATTTGTAGAACACCATTTTTGCTTATTAGGTATGCACTGCACATATTGAAATCTTGGTTCAAAAGAAAGAGATAGCGTCCTAGTAATTTAAAATGGCTAAGAAAGCCACTAGGGGACTTTGTTTTATTTAATTACAATTTCAACAGAAAAAAATACATATGCACTTTCCATAGGTTAACCAGCTACACCTACGAATAAGCTGAAAATGTAACTGAAGCTGAAGCACACTTCCTTATTTTGGAAAACTTTACAGAAAGGTATTTTCTATCTTGACCAGACTGTAAAATATGGAAATTAACTTACTGTCGACGCCTTGCGTAGGAGGGTATTCCAAGCATGTTAAATGGCAGAAATTCTTGAAGTTCTTTACCTTCACAGTCCGATTCATTAAAGTAAAGAAGATGGTGAAACCATATGTTAAAGGCCAGGTTGCGCTGTTTTGTAGACCGAACATGATGAAACCACCTGAAAAAAATTCATCATTACACATCCAAGAAAGCACTTAAGAATTGTTGTTAGTTTCCTAGCAATATGCATGTACTGTAAAACTACATGTTAAAGGCTGAATTACACTGCTTCACAAACTTAGGAATTCTAAGCTATAACAAACTACCAGAAACAGAATTTAGAAAATATAAAATTATATTGGTATTAAAGGAGAAAATGTTAAGAGAAATACCTTGCATAATTTGTTATAACTATATTATAGTACAAAATAATAATAATGTCTATAATACAGACAGATCAAGAAAGTTTAATGGCAATAGTTTGTTATAACTATATTATAGTACAAAATGTTGATTTAACATTTGTCTACACATACAACCACTTCGGATAAATTAATTTCATTTTTTGGTTAATTCTTACAAAACAAAATTCAGCTATTAATATTAACTGTTTTTTATATAATATTAACATATTAGCAAGACATTAACACAATTGCTGCCATGTGTCCCACCAGCAGGTCACAATTGACTTTTAGTTATGGACCATGTGACACACTGATGTATTACAGACAATTGTGTTTCAAAGCTAAATTTCTCTTGTGGCATATAAGTATGGAACACTGTAACTGCTCCTTGACACCTCTTGAATGTTTAACTTTTTTGTACTTAATCTATTAGGCTATCTTGTGTTAAGCTAACATGTTAACTTATAGTCTCACAAATCATACAGGAAGTTTTATATGTTAAAATTTTTGTGCCAAACTAAAAACTTGTTTAATACATACAAAATAATTACTGGCACAACTAAGTCTCTTGGATGTTGTATGATGAAAGATCTCTGATCGATAGTAGTGGCAGTTTTATTTTACTTACATTTTATATTTGTTGAAAACTATGAGATTTACAAATGTTGATAAAAATTACTTAGTAGTACAAATTTCCAAATTCTGAATAAATATTTCAAACACACACACATACACATGTATGTATAATTCATCAGAAAAAGGATGTTACTATGTTTGAAACATTCACATGAGATTACATTTCAATATATTAGTGTTAGAGCTAGGCAATTAATGGTATTTGTCAATTGATTAATTCTCCATTAATTGATTACAATTGATTAATACAGTGCTCGTCAAACCATAGCACCATTGAGTAAAAAGTTGAGGCAGGTACAGACAGCCAGTAAACCTCCTCCTAGTCAGTACTTCCAAACTAGCATTAGTAGCTTTGCTATAATACATCTTGCATAACAATTGACTTAATCATTATTTTGACTAACAGATTGTTGGAATAATCAAATACTGTAATGATTAAAAATACTAATTTCAATACAATCAAAATTTCAATTAATCAACTGTTTGAATAACTGAAAATGGTCATAATTAGAAATACTAATTTTCATTAGGTGATTATTTTTGTGACAATAGATTGGAAAAATAATTGAAAACAGTAATAGCCAAAAACAATAAATTTGTTTTATCAATTTAATTGTTATTTTGATTAATCAATTAGTTTACATGGCAGTAACTAATGCAAATGTTGCTTATAGGTAACCAGTCATATCGGTTAAATTGTCCAGCCCAAATTAGTATCAACATCCAAGGAGACCTTAATATATATATCTTATCTGAACTTGGAAAAAATCATATACTAGGCTTTTCTGAAGTAACTACTGGCAACCAAATTAGGTCATACAAGTAAATGTTTTACACACCTACATTATTGCAATTCTACTTATAGTTGTGCAATCAATAGGTTCCAAATTATAATTGTTGGCTATTTTTACATAAGTAAAAGTACTGTAATTTAATAAACATGTTTTTCTCTCATAGATAAGATTTAGCTAAATGTAAGCACACTACTTTAAATTAATAGTTTGGGAAGTTCCTATACAAGGTAATGTCAAATGAAAAACTTGAAAGATTACACAATTTTTCTTTGCAAGTATATACAACTATGAAGTTATATCTATATAATTAAAAGAGTAATGAGTGTGGGGTGGAAGCTTTTTATCTTCATTAAACTATACAAGTATGAAATTAGGGGTAGTGAAGCAATGTCACTATATGCATAAAAGAGGGGTGGGTATAGATAGTACTATGCATTACAAAAGGAAAGATATTTAAAATAATGGATCTGTCATCCCTCAGATACCTATTTCAGACAGCAGTGTTTATGTGTTAAGATTTTGTGTGTGAATTTCTACATTTGTTTATATAAACTTAGAGTGCTGGTACCATCACCCCTTTGGATTTTAATACCAGGTTTTAATACCTGGTACCCAGGTTTTGAAAATGCCACTAAATATTTTACTAGATAACTCAATCAGTTTGTCATCTTTTATTAGACCATTCAGCCCAAAGTGGTTTTTGTACTAGAGGTGTTTGATGCATATCATGTTTTGGAATAGGTTTAACCTGCCAGCCATTCAGTTATCCCTAAACACCATCAGATTCATTCAGAACTCTAAGTACCTAACCTCATACATGAGTAGTCTAAACTGGCCACTTAACTGTTTTAATTACTTTAAATACACAGTACTGCCTTTACATTTTATAAACTTTGTGCATTCAAGCATAAAATACCACAACCAAAGAAATACAGCGTATGTGAAGCACAAATTTTGTCCCTAGTTTTGGATAAAACATTGGGTAATAGAAAGTATATACTTATTAGGTGTATATTTTAAAACAATTTGTATTTAACATGCTTATCTAATGTCAGATTTGGGGTAATAATTAAATCAGAAAGGTTACAAATTAAAACTAAGAAAAACATTAACAGTGAGAAGATCTTGAATTACATTTCTGTTGATATATTACATGTTATAAATGTAAATTTTGAAAAATTTGATGATTTAAATCAAAGTAACTCTTCCAGGTAAAGTGTCTAGAAAAAAACAGACAATCTAACTCATTTATATCTTTTTTCCTCATAATATGGGCATTAATATGAAAATGTATTTCTGATAGGTACTTCTCTCACCCACTTCCCGTTCTTCCTCCCTACTGAGATGCTGGTGCTTATAATTTGTGCCTGCCAATTCTCAAGTATGAAAATTGTTCTAGAATAGTAGAGGGAGCAAGCTGTGCCAGTATATATTGCACAGTATGATTGGTGAGGAGTAGTCACATGATCTGCACATGTTATGAAATGATGCAAAGCTGTTGGGGTATAAAGACTGGTGTACCATAGCAAAATGTTTTTTTAGCAATGCTTAGAGGATAGACCAGGATCGAGATAGCTTTGGGTGAAAGGAGGTACTACTGTTTTGAAATAAACCTTTTGGTTAGTGTTAATTTCTTTTAAATAGTATGAACATATATGCATGTAATGAACTACTTTTTCATCCTCCCTCAATATATTTGTAACTAACATAGATTAATAGTTAAAATCTACATATGCCATATCTCCAAAATGATTTGGTAAAATATAATTGGTTTAAGTAAAAACAGTTGTGAAGCTCCAGTTATTTTTTTCTTAATGTCAAGTTTCAAAAGTAGGGAAATATTTACAGCAAATGAAGCATTCAAAGTGATACTGTTGAAGAATTATTATCGAAAAAATGGTCTAAGCTAGTTGCTCAAAAAAATGAAAGTTAACATTTTCCTAAATTGAAAATGTATTTTCAATAATACTTAACTCCACTGACACTTTAGCTATTCCTTGACGTTGGCTTTGCCTATCTAAGCATTGGTTTCGCATGCTCCAGTCTTTTATATTCCACTTAATTGCCCTTGGCAATATCTAATTTGCAAATTCCTCCACCTGTGTCAATGCACCCTCCATCCTGACACTGTAAATAAACCCCTTACTCAGATAATGTAATCCCTTTTTCAAGACTTGCACCATCCCAGTCACTAACACTGACTCTTTATGGGGAGGAAGGGTGGGAAAGTGTCAGGTGAGGTAAGTATTATTGGAAATACATTTTCAATTTAGGAAAATGTAAATTCCAAAACATACTGACCCTCTGCTGATACTTTAGCTAAAATCCCACTTTGAGAAGGTAGAGGGGCTGGTGAGGGCACTGTCCATACAGAAAGCATCTGTATAGAACAGGGGTGCACAAAAATAATAAGAGTGGTACCCAAGTGGGGAAACTGCACTACACCCAGAACAGGTATGCTCTTTACCCAGAACTTCAGATTGGTATCAAGGGTGGAATAGTACGAGTAATTATTATAGGCCAGCCCAAACCAGATAACCGAGGTTCCACAACTCAAAGTTGGAATTAAGGGGTCATGGTCCCTATATCCCATGGTGATGGCTAGGGCAACTGGACTGCAATGTGATGTATAGATATACTTTTGATTAGATCCCAACCCATAGCCATAGAGTGGTGTGTTCCAAACCAGCAGAATTATGATGAGAAAGTAAGCAACGCTGTAGTGCACAAACTTTCTCTTCCACCTGAAGAAGTCCAAAAGGCAACACCCTAGACTCAGAATGATGGGATCATATATGCCTTTTTGAAACAAAGGAACATAACTCATTCAGTCTGGAATTATGAGCATTCATCCTCACTCTCCAACTGAGTGGGCAACGAGCATTCCACTTGCTTCTAGAATTATGGAGAGGACATAAAACAATGTGTTCAACCAAGGACCTAGGATAGAACCACTTTGCAATCAGAATTATGAGGAGATAGAGGACCTCCATAAATGAACAACATACAACTTGATATTGTTCATAAGAAGGGCACACCCCAACAAGATAGCATAGATATCCCTCTTCTACAAGACTGGAGGAACACACTCAAACACTCTGGAGGAAAAGCTATAACTGTCCACCACCCCAGCAACTTGAAACTGGGTGTGGTAAGGTCTCCCTAGCTCCACTAGTAGAATCTGAGGGGCGGTGATGCGTGTTGGGGAGTCCTGAGGAACAGTGCTCTGGAAACAGTGCAATAGGTGAACCAAGTTCCCTAAACTTTTAAACCCAAATGACACCAATTTATTCAATCTGATGATCAGCAGGAACAGGCAGAATCTCCTTTAGCTTTACTCATGATAGTCCATGACAATATGATAATACCATATGCAAATGCACCTAGATGGTCTTATGAAACACCTCATTTCTACAGAGCCTGTTGCAGCCCGAATTAAGTATAGTCAAATAGGTTGCTAGTTCGAAATCGGATAAAAGCACACTTGTCTGAGCAACACTCGCCACGGAGTGGGATCTGGTGAAAGCAAGATGTAAGGGATCTTGAAAAAGAAAGAAAAGATAAGATTACTCCATATAATCTAGCAGATGTTGTTAAAACAGTCATGAGGGGTAGTGGAAAACCTGTAGAAGAAAAACTGCCAAATCATATAAAGAATAAGAGAGAAAAGCATTAGGAGAAGTCCACATACAGGCCTATAAAATATCCCCCAGTGAATCAAAGAAATGGGCAGTCAAAGACATAAATGTGCTAAAGCTGATGAGATGTAATTCTCAGAATATTCCTCACCTGTAAAATCCAGAATATGCAACCTAGATAATTGCAAAACCACCTCCAAGGATGTAGGGATAAACCATTGGAAACTAAAGTATCTCACAGAATATAGACAAGAACTATCACCATGAAAGGAGTTAGAGTCACATAACACCTCTGGGCCTGACAGGACAAAACAAATGATCAACATGTGATTGATTGTAGAGGTGAGAAATAGTTGACAAAAGAATTGTAGAGAGGGATGTATTCCCTTCCCTAGTGGCCAGAGACTTAGAAAGAAAGGACCTATCAGGGTATAGAAGGACGTAAAGGGAGAGATAAAAGAGTCCTACAAACATGTCAACAACTCCAGCTGATGACATCAGCATGTCAAGAACAACAAAATACCCATTAAGGGAGAGATGGTACATGAGGTTAAAGGCTCAAATGGTTGTCAAGATAAAGCATGTAGTACCACCTTAATATTTCGATTAAGTAATGAAAAAGGCCATTTGGGAAGAAGGCTGGATGGGACTGGGGAGTCTAAAACCATCAGATGTTTATAATAACTAAAAAGAGATGAAAAAGTTGTCTGACCTAAACGACAGGAGATGACGCTAAACCCAAGTAAAAAAACAGGTCAAAACAAGATATGGTGAACACGTTTGGTAAAGTGGTTATAAACTCCTTGTGAGGCACACCCCAGGCAACTGTTGATGTTAAACCTCAAAGAGCTGGGAAGAGTCTTGGTGTAGAATGTTGGGTTGAAGATGCCTCAATAAAGATGAACAAAGAGGAAGATGCAGAAGTGGATTCACATGAAGAAACTGTAGAATAGGAAATCATGGCTAGGCTAGCAGCATCTTGCAAGTAGGGAATCGAAATATAGCCAGAACTCTCAGTAACAGAGGAAGTGAAGGAAAGTCATAGATGTACAATCCCATCCAAGCAGGACTGATTGCATCTACCATCCAAGCCTGAGGATGAGGTAGTGGAGATTCCAAAGCTTGTAGTTGAGTATCAATGAGTGGCAAAAGCTAACAATGAAGCCCCAAAGTGAGAACAAATCTATCAGAAAACTACACAATGGGGAATCCATTTGTTCAGGAGAAAGTGAGGACTGAGACTAACAATCTGCTATGAAATCCATCAACCCAGGAAAATGGCAAGCCAGAAAGCTGACATGATTGGAATAGGCCCCATAGAAAAGAACCAAATTTAACAGACCACTGGAATTGAAGAAACATCTCATGAGGATATTCCCCTGCAAAAGATCTAGACATTTCCTGTTGGACAGCATGAAGTTCTAAGTTACTGATGCAGAATGAAGATTCATCCTTCATTCATATATCATGGAATTCCAGACCTTGAAGATACACACTGCATCCCTGAAGTGAAGTATCTGTGAAAATAAACTATGGACAGAGGGGTAGTATATACACACACACACATACAAATGCTAATGACAGAGGTGATCCAAACCAACCACCACTCACAAACGAACATGTTGCTCCTGAAGAAAGAGACTGAAAATTCCAGTGTATTAAAGTTCCAGATCCGTTTGTTTTAATGAGACCATTGAAGGAATAGCATGTCCTCATCCCAAAAAATGCAAGAGATTTGAGGGAAGCCCACAGCCCAGAGATAGAACCATGCCTGACTGCTCATTTCATAGCCTGGAGCTGGATGGGAGGTGGCTGAGCTGGGCATAAAACATGGTGAGAACTTGTACAACCTAGCAGAAGACATATGATGCAGATGCTAGACAAAAAGCTTGATCCATGAACTGCAGAACTTGATCCCAGTACACAAAACATAGCTACAAGCAAGATGAATTAACTATGAGAATGTGGAGAAATGCCTCAGCAACCACAAACTTGGGCAACCAAGGACCTGGTAAAGAATGCCAATGTAGGGTAAGAAAAAACTCCATTGTGGGAGAAACAAAGAATAGGTTGAGATGAGAAAGAACGATGATCATCCATGAATCTCCCTTTATCTCAGGCACAACGAATAAACAGGAATAAAACTCTGAATGAATGGGAACAACTGTCACTACTACCCCCGTGATTAGTAACTTTGATAAGCGTGAAATGAAAATCCACACCCCACTGGTCAAGTGGAGGTAGAAATACCATAGAGTGAGGATAATGGAGGTGGAGAACTGAATGGAAAAACCAACCTCAATACCAGAACCCAAAGTGCCCATGGAACTGCAGTGAAGGAATACCAGGTGTCCAACAATAGTTGTAACCTCACTATAACTGACATCCCCCCCCCCCCAACCTAGGTTGATACTAATGCTAATAGTGTAAGTCGACCCAAATGGAGTGGCCCTGAAACTAAGGTCTGAGTCTTTCACCTACTAGAGCCAAAGAAGGTTGAGAGGTCAACAACAACAAAAAAACAAATGTCTGGCACCAATTTGCCTGGCAAATGCTCTGGGACACCTGCAAACATGAAGTGATGATAAAATGAAGCCATATGTAACACCCAGAGGATACAGCAAGTAGACAAAGTCCCTTCACCCAGGTATCTCTACAGAAGGAAAAGAAGCAGGCAATCTGACCAAGGTAAAAGACAATAGAAAACATTCGTCTGCAAATTAATGTGGGGACCATTGATAGTTTGCCAACAATTTGAGGGGGAAGAAACATCACAGAGCAAGAGTGAGATGCAAACAAGTACAGAAAATGTGATTGATTCAAGATGATCACATGAACCAACCTGGAACCCCATATATTCAAAATTAAATAATTTTAATCTTTGGAAATGAAAAAAAAAAATCTCCCTGGAGTTGGAAAGCCAAAGCATGCAAACAGACAAACAAGGGTACAAGGTATATCTATCCCATCACTTAATAAAGCAGTAAGTCACTTAGCATGAACCAGGAATATCATGTGAAGTAGGAAAAACTAATTAGTTCCTTTCGACCACCATCAAGGGAGGAGTAGACTTAAAGGTCAAAGAGAAAACCCCCAAAATCTCATAAACCAAATGACAAATTGAAGAAAAGGAGTAGGAGGTGGTTAATCCAAATTGAACTCGTGAAAAGCTGACTTAGTAAAGAAAAGCAACAAAAAAACCAAGTCAAAATTCTCCCCAGAATAACCAGGATCAACAAAAGAGGCAACTTCAGAGGCCCCAGGCAAAAAACACCTCTGGGCCGAATATATGTTTCCATCTCCCAACGAATCAAAACATGGACAGCCTCAACTGAGAGTGACCCCCCTCCCAACCATAGAGACATGCTAAATAACAAAAGGAGGAATAGGGGAAGTCAGATTAACTGCTGTGCTGACAACGGTAATAAGGAAATTCATACCTGCAAACATCACGTCCAATTTTTTTTTTAAAGGAAATTATAATTATACGGAAAACCACAAGGTGACACAAAAATCGCAATCCATAATGGAACAAACTACAGCACTTCATCGGACAAAACCGTGACCAAAGCTTTGTCGAGAAAAAGTGATTACATTATCCGAGTGAAGTGCTTATATACAGAGTCAGGATGGAGGACGCACTGACTCAGGTGGAGGAATTTGCAAATTAGATATTGCCAAGGGCATTTAAGCGAGATATAAAAAATTGGAGCATGCAAAAACAATGCTATAAATAGGCAAAGCTAACACTAAGGAACAGCTAAAGTGTCAGCAGAGAATATGTTTTGGAATGTAAATAACTTTTCATAGTGTTATTCTTCATAGTAAAATTTACATTAATAAACTTTCACAGTTCTATTGTTAAAAGTTTTAAGTTGTTAGCCTGCAAGCTGAGTGAATGAGTCTGGTATAATAAAATAAACAAGTTTTGATTACTCAAGGTAATCATTATTAACTTACATGTAAGGAATAAATATGCAGTCTCCGGGATTAATAGTTACATTGTACCATGGCACATCCTGTAATCCTGGATAACGATACATGTCCACTTTTTCTACATCAACTCCACTATACGAACCATCTTCATAGTCAATATTCACATTCTTTGCTAGTGTCTAGAAAAAATAAATTATAAATTCATTTGTATATTTGTATATGGGTATAATGCTTTCTGACAATATCTTTTTTAATTAATTTTCATTTAATCTTTTTTAAACTTAAAAGTGCACTACAAAAAATGTTTGTTTCTGAATTTCAGATTCTTTCATTTTAGTTAATTGATTAGTTAATATATTTAAATTAAGATTTTTTTTTAGAAAAGAACTTGTTGGTCATAATGTATGCATACCAAGAAAACTGTACTTGTAGGGACAATGAGCTACCATAAACTGCCAAATCTTACTTTGGCTAACATGTTGATATATATAATGTACTTTGTGATTTCTCATGTACCAAGAGTACGATATCAAAGCACGTGAACAGTGAGAAACTAACATATACAAGTAAAGAAAACTATTTTCAAAAAATAAAGCAAATGTAGGGATGGCTAATATCAATCCTTCAAAAACAATGCAAAAAAAGATAGTAGGGATGGCATTTTCATCATCTCCGCATAACAGCACAAGCACACAGTGTAGTAGAATGTTAACAGACAAAAATAGGAAAAATTAAATTCAACTGTGATTGAACAGTTTTTATAATATATATCTTGTTTTTGAAGGATTGATATTAGCCATTCCTATATTTACATTCTTTTTTTGAAAAGCTTTTCCTTACCTGTTTTTTAATGCAGTGTTTCAATAGACATAGGAAAGTTGTATTTACAATCAGTGCCATTTCTACAGAGGCAGTGCTACCACCTGCCTGATAACCAAGTTCTAAATGCAATGAGGTTTCAACTGTAATATTTAGTTTATCTATTATTGGCTGGTAAATTCTGTTTCACCCTGTACTTAAGCTCTTTAAAGGAATACAAAATTTATGTAAGAAGGCTAAGTTCAAGGTGTAATGATAACTTCGTTTCTACTAGAATTATGATCTTTTTTAATTACTACTACTTAATAATAATTATAAAAACAGATACTCTGTTTGAAACTGTCACCTCAATGAAATTGGTTGACACCACTGTTTTGGTTTTTCAGTTATCATGTAATAAAAAAAAAGCAGAAGAAAGAAGATCAAGAAATTCAAACTTTTTGCTATATAGTATTTTAAATTTCTGATGACCTATTGAGGAGATATTTCAAATACCATTTCAATGAACAATCCAAGCCATCCCTCCATAGGCAGTGCTACCACCTGCCTGATATATACTTACAGCCATGAATGAAAAAAAAAAGAACTCTAAAACATCATAAAACAATATCAATACATACACGATTCACAAGAAATGCCACTTTGCTTCCATCCAGAATACAATTCAAATTATCCATTGCATCTGTATGAAGTACAGACTTTGTGCCTCCACTACTTAGCCAGCCAACTATATCAACTAGAGATTTCTGAAGATTTCCACACTGCAATATTTTTGGAATGCCTATTTCTTCTGCCATATAAAAAAACATTTAATTTTCTTAGATTGCATCTCATAACATAAAACTAACAATATTCCACTAGTGAAATTGGATTAATTAATTTTATTCAAAAACCATTTTAAGCTTTCAACATCTAATGTCTCACGTGAAGAGTTTCTAAAAAATTAATACAAATATGGCAAATTAGCTAACAGATTTGTGTAAATATCTTGCACATATTGTGAACCATAGTGTGTGGCTGAGCATTCATCTGTTTCTTGTTTGAAAAGCTGCACGGCAAAGCTTAACATTCACTTTTGAAATGATGGGAGAACAGGCATGAATAATATTGATGCCAAATTTTATTTTGCAAGCAGGATATTATACACTAAATTGTTAGGAATTAATCACACTATCATTCACATTTCACATTAACTTAAAAGAATAAAAATGTAGATTTAGCATATGTTATTGATGAGCAGCTCTCAGCATGACTGAAATGCTCAACAATTACATTTTGCTATAAGTAGCTCAGAACTTTGGCTCTGAGTGCAACACAATTAACCTTTTTAAAGTCTACAAAATCATTTAAACTGATAGATTAACTTAAACTTTTTCCCATCACTGGGGATGGGTACTTTTGCTTATATGTTTATAAATAAACTGCATACAATTTACTAACTTTACCTGAGCTATAGAATCTCCTACCTTTAAGAAATTAATAATATTCATATTGATAACTCACAAAAAGATAAACTTTGAAAGTGAAATATTTGAAACATCCTGTGCAGAGTATTTACATGTCTTAAAACTCATTATATAACAATTTCTCAAGATAAAGTTCACTACCTCAACTCACATATTGTTCTAACTTCCACCAGATACAGTACATGTAAAAACAAACACAAGCACATCCAAAGGAACTTTCTGGTAAAAAACTATTAAATATTTTTTCTGTAAATTCATCTAACCAAAATGCTAGAAAAAGAACTAAAGCATTATTTTGTATACTTTTTTCTTCAGATTTCAAGGTATTTTGCACATATGTATTAGATATCCAAATCAAACCTAGAACTTTTACTTCATACACATGTATACATACACACACACACGAAAGTAAATAGTACTAATAGGATGGAAGTTGGGAGTAATACAAATGTCAAAATATAGGGTAGCTTAATCCTACTACAAGATTATTTTAATATCTGTAATTCATGTCAACATATTAGGGGTAACTGTCTTCTGACAACTAGCTGCAGACAATGAACAGCAACAGCAGTTGAAATGTTGAGTCAAAACACTCAATTCCTAACCCCTAATTCGATCTTTCATAATGGCTAACTAGTTTGACATTTGAATTATGTCTGATAAATGGAATATCTTCAACACCTTTGGGTGCTTTGGCTACAGACATTTTCCATTATGAGGTAAAGGATAATGACGGGAAGTGGCAATGGACAGCTTTCTCTTTTATTAGTTTCATAATATACATCTTGGTTTCTATAAACAACAAAACAAATATATTCATATTGTATCAAACAGGCAACTAGTTGTATATGCACTGTAAAAGTAAAATACAATAATACTACAAAGACCTATCATGAAATATAACATTTTCCTTTACCTGAAAATTAGTTCAGATAGATATCTCGCTGTAGAACAAAGAGCTATTACTTTGCATGCACTGCCATGTAAATTCTTGTGATTGCTACATGCCTTGAACAAAGCTCCCACAAATACATGTGTAATCATCATTAGACTATAGCCCTCCGCCAATAGAAGAGTGTCACATCCTCCATATGCAGTAATCCCCATGAGCACTAGAATATGAACATAGGCTCATTCTGAACATGGCAAAGTAAATGCACCAGAAATGGGCATGAAGGATGGAAAATGGTGGAGAGAGGTATCTATCGGGTAATGAAAGTATTAACTTCAGAAACATTACTGACTTTGCATTGCAAAGAGCTAGAATCCCACATTGAAGATGGTGGAGGGGGCAGTGTAGAGAAAAACAGCATCAGAAAGGAAAGCCTGCAGAGGGTGATTAGCTTTTCTGAATTTAGTGAATGTTCACATAGTAGTCACAATAACTATGATAATTAAATGTTTTGAAAACTCTTTTTTTGCATACTTAAAAATGAATAATGAAGAGATTCCACCAAGTAATAAGGTTTTTCTTCATACTGATGCAGGAAGTCAGAAAAAGGCATAAGTAATGTAGCAGCTGTTCTATCTTCTTTCTTCTTGACCTCAACACTCATTTCAATGTGTCCATAGTGAAGCCTAAAGAAAAAATTTGATCTTTATAACTAAACTTTAAGATAATTTTAAGCATCACGCACACTTTAAAAATTTTTTGCAAACACTGCTACATATGCAATGAATACTTAAGACATAATTATTAACCCTTACCTTAATCATTAGGACTTCATGTAGTGAATTATATTTTGTATATAATAATCCACAATTACATAATTACATTTCACTTTCAGAAGCAATCAGTGGTAGGAAAACATTTAAAAACAATCATATACAGGTACATGTATTTTGAGGAGATTTACAGAGCTCAGTAACAAATGATTTTACTTGCTTAAAATATCCAAACAAGAAAAGAATTTTAAAAAATCTTCTAAAGCAATAATTCCATTAGCAAAGATGTACAACGACAAAAAGCTTATTCATGTGTTGTTGTTGTTGTTATTGAACTTCAAGACTTCGGATGTATTAAGTGTGAAACCTGTTAATTATTACAAGCATTTTTTAAGTTTTAGAGAAAAATGAATCTTTTTAGTATATATTAGCTGTTGAAAAAATATTTTCTTAAACTTCTTTAAAAGTACAACCTATATCACTGTACATGACAATTTGTTCCACATATTTACAACCCTAATAACAAAAAAAGTACATCTGACTAAACTAAAGATTTACAGAATTTGAAGTCTTGTTTTTCTAATGGTAGCTGAAGTGGGATTTTTGTTTTTGCATATATATAACAGTAATTATTTGCCAATTAAACTTTATATTAGAGATTTTAAGACTGTTGCTAGAGATTCTTTATGAGTTTAATCTTGCATACCAAAAAAAAAGTCATTTAATAAATAGAATGATGAACATTTACTGAGAGAAAACTATTACTAACCACAATGTTTTGTCATAAATAATTGATAGACGTATGTTTAACAGCAAATTATTTTTCACAGATGAGTTAAAGAACTTTCTCTTCAATACTAATGAATATAAAAGTTTTACAATAAAGTAATACATGATATTTTTGTTTTGTTGTTATTAAGTACAAAGCTACAAAATGGGCTACCTTTACAATGTCCACTATAGTGATCAACCCCTGAATTTTCCCATTATAAGCCCCCAAGCTTACTGCTGAGCCACAGGGCAATGACGTGTCTTCATTTCAAACCCATAAACACATTTAATTTACATGATCACTATAAAATTCTCTTAATTCTTAGAGATATCTCAATTTGTAGAATAATATTTTAAATATGTAAACAGTGGAAATAAAAAGCAAATTTTATCTGTACAGCTATACAAGGTCAAATGAAGTCTCATAAACAGTGCTTCTGTTAAAAGTACTACCCAATATTATTCAATTACCCAAGTAAATTGAAGCATATACAATAAATTTTCTTAAACAATACAAGTTTATCATAGCAACTATAACTACAAACATTAAGGAAACTTAAAGTTTGCCTTTTTTACTAACTTTTTTTTTTATAAGTCTGCCTGTATATTAATCCATTTGTATATACTTTATAATGATATAATCATACTTAACTTAAATGTTTTATATAAACAATAATCATATGACATGATATACACAAGCATTAGAAACACAAATGAAAATCACTATTTATTGGTACATGCACTGTAACAAAAGTGTTTTTTGTGTGTACTAGGTTCAGGCCTTCCAATCCACTTTAATTGAAAATATAGGGGTGAATGTATGGAAAATTTTAAGAAAAAGTAGGAATAAAGTAATGAGGATTTTATAGAAAAGAAGGATGAAGTAGAATGATACTATGACTAATTTTTCTCTTTTAAACTTACTAGCATTTACTCTTTGATTTTTCCTACTTCATAAGCTCTCAGAATGTGTTTAATGCTTGCATGGATAAACTTACCACACCATGTTTATATCAACAATTCTTCAATATGCTAGTTATAGAATTTGCTATAAAATCAAAATTCAGCATGAACAATTTGAAATTTAGACTGTTGTAATATCTCCTGAAAAGTTGTAATGCATGTGGGTTATCATAATTTGAATAATAAGTATAATTATACAACTAACAGTGTTATGGAAGAAAAGGATCTTGGGGTTCTGGTTGATCAGTTTCTTAAGCCATCCAAGCAGTGTAGTGTTGTTAGTGGTGAGGAAAATAGGATTTTACTTTGTATCTACAGAAATAATGAATGCAAATCTAAAGAGGCTATGAGTTTGTTTTGTTTTAGTTCAGTTAGTAGATGGGACAACATAGTTGGGCCAAAAGGTCTTTTGTTGTCCTTAAATTTTATGTTAAATGCTAATAGTAATATATATCAAGAAACATTTAATATTATATTATTATTTTATGCATAATCTGCTGATATTATTATAAGGTAGTAGATATGAAGGGGCATTTTGGCCTATCAAAGATTAGAGCTGGGTAATTAACTCAATTAATCAATTATCTATAGGCATCAATTACCTCAGTGTCAGGTAAAATAACGCATTCCTCAACATTTCAATTAAGTTGATTAATATCATGAAAAATAATCAACCAATCAATATTAATGTTTCCGATTATTAGTGTTTCCAATTAATCCAACGATTTAAATAATCAAAATATTGCCAAGATGATTTCTCATTATTTTTTATTAATTCAAGGTAGTTCAGCTTAATGAATTAATATCACAACTCACAAAAATGATCAAAATTAGTGTTTCTGATTATTACTATTTTTCTATTATTCCAATTGTATAATTCAATTACACCACCTATGGTTGTCTTTTTTGTAGGACCTTCATGATGTAAATTATACTTAATTTATGACAACCTGCTTTTATACATTTCTTTTTTTTTACCTCAGCAATGTATTTATGACTGTCAGCATCGTAAACTTATTCATAGATAACTTCTACAAAAATATTTTAACCAGTATGAAATGTCTGGTAGTGTGATGAGGGTTAGAACTAAAAAGTGACTACTATGAATAAAACAGAAGTCTTTGTGAGCATTAAAGTTTTACATTTTGGTATATATATGTTTTCCTGTGATTTGAAGATTTCATGCATATTGTCAGAAAGGCTTTACTTTGTCATGCAAAGAGAACAAAAGCAGCATGAAATATTTACACTAGTTACATCATTGTATATTATGAGCCCTAGGTATAACTCATATTCTTACACCCTTCATTATTGGAAAGAGTTCAGCTAATGAGGGCTAATAAGATGATTTTGAAGATGGAAGGTTTATCTTATGGGAATAATTTAAGATCTTATTTTCTCTTGAGAAAAGATTGGTAAGAGGGGATCTTACAAGATTATCCAGGGACCAAAAGGATACAAACCTCTTATTTTTTTGCTATGTTCTGAAGATACCAGGACGAGAGGACTCAACTATAATTAATATTGACTTCTGATCAAACTAAATTTCCTGTCAATAGATCATAACTACACATAAACCTAGTAATGAGTAACTAATTAAATTTAGTATTCTTATATTTGGAAAAGACAAGCTAGGTACTAGTAAAGATACTTTTATGTTTTTAATATGGTGATTGGCTTATGGAAAGAGGTGTCTTCAGCAGTAGGAGAGGCCACTACTTAACAAAAGTGTTATAGGGGGAATTGATAATTTCCTAAAAGTAAAAGGTGAGTTTAAAGTTTTACTTTTTCTTATGGATTGGTGTGCAGGGATAGCTTTAAAGGTCTAAATGTTCCCTTAATTGTCTGTATATGTTATTGTAAGCAAAACTTGAGACTTTACAAATAGTCATCAGTGAAATCTTATTCCACTATCAACATTTTGTAGAAAGGGTGGTTTCATTTAAAAAAATTAAACTGTTTACTTGTCTCAAAATATGAATTAACCAAAATATGAAAGTTTAAAAACATTAATTCACAAAGATTGACAGGTAAAATAAATTATAATGTATAACCACAGAGAAAGCTACACATGAATCTTTTTTTTTCAGTTTTTCTCTAAGAAAGAAACCTAAAGCTAAATAAACATGAATGTATACAAACATGTAAACAAAAGATTAATAAAAATGTGACTTATGTTGTTCTAATACAGGTGATCGAGTGTGCATGTTTATCAAGAACATGACTAATTTATCGTGTGTTTTGTGAATTCTTCTCCTTTTCAAATGTATAAGTTAAACATTAATATTTACACAAAAATGCTTGGAAAAAAAAATGCAGGGCATACTGCATCTGAAATAACAACCCACTTCACTCTAAATGAAACATTATTTTCACCATAGTCTAAACAGAGTTGTAGTACTGAGTATACTTGTACATGAATTGGTATATTATGTATTTGAAGCTTATACAAAGAAATGATAAAAACAAGACATTTTCTCATGTCTGGGAGACTTTACAGCTGATTTACTGAACCTAAATACTTTACAATACCACTTTAAGATACATATTATATAAAATTATTTAAAAAAAATTTTTTTCAATAATAATTTTATTTCAACATTCAGTAAAATGAGTTTAAGACTGTAAAAAATGAAAGATTTAATTGTATCTTTTATTTATTTAAACATTCATTTCTTATGAACTAATATTTTGCACAGCCAGAAAATATCAATGCCACTATTTATAATATTAATGTACCACTTGCAACTGAAAATACTATACACCATAAAACAATATAAAAGAAAATGTTTTATCAAATCACTTTTCTGATTAACTTAAAACTAAGCATCAAGTTAATATGGGTTTTGTGCAAAATGCACTAAAAATAATTATCATTTATGTTTATACAATATTGATTTCATTAGTTAAAAACAATATTTGTGCATTAATTCAATACACACATTTTTCAAGATGTACTGTAAAACCTTTAATGTAATTTTGTTTTAAATGTCAATAAAATCATGAGAGTGAGTTGATTGTAGATGGTGGTAAGTTTAACTTTAGCAACAATGTACTATTGCAAAGACTGAATTAATGTGTACAAAACTGATAGTGCTGTAGATAAAATTAACAGTTAATGCATTTTACTCAAAACTATTTTAATAACATTTTTCACCATGCCTTTTAGCGTGTATAAATTGAATGTTAAAGAAAACTATCACAAGTTTCGAAGATGATACAGTAAATTGAATCACATATGACATAGATATAAATTGTACTGCATGTATAAAATTATATTTGTCAAAAATGTTTAGCAGAAGTAAAGTGAGATTAATGTATATTAGCATCATTAAAACCAAAAAATTTGCATAAAACAAATAATCAACCTGTGCATGGGAAATCTTCAGGTTAAGCAGTAAAGCAACTAATTTTACAATGACAAATTTCAAATGTAAGGCCATGAAATAGAGATGCTGAGCTAGTACTCTATTATAAGGTAAATGTATGTGACCAGATATATGAAAAAGGTACATCAACTGACATGCATCATTGTAGCCATGATTCAATTCACAAGTCCTGTACATTATGAATACAATTTTTTTTTTATACAAGTTACAGAAACATTTTTCTTTAATTAAGTGAAAGCAAATTTCATTAAAATTATTGGTTGATGAATACAATATATTAAATGGCCTGCTGTCATCTTTCATTTCTGGTATTTTTACAACTTGCCCAACCATTTAATCAGTTCACCAAATGCAGAAAGGGTGGTTTAATATGGTGATTGGCTTATGGAAAGAGGTGTCTTCAGCAGTAGGAGAGGCCACTACTTAACAAAAGTGTTATAGGGGGAATTGATAATTTCCTAAAAGTAAAAGGTGAGTTTAAAGTCCTCCAAGTTCCAAAGCTTAGACCAATTACCTATAAGCCAAGGATTTCAATAGTACAATACAATTATCAAAAATACGCTGATTTTTCCAAGCCCGTTCCCTTGGCTGTGGTTTCGCTAGATGAATAATTATTTTAATCTCAAAATTCCAATAAAAAACCGTTTTACAAAGCTCAATACCATCTAGGAATTGATATGCACTTTGATTTAAAAAAAAATACAATATTCCAATTTCTTACCCCAAGAAGTCATCTGTCCACAAGCTAAAAGCTGGAAGTTTTTTGGCCACATCCCTAAATATAACTGGCTTACTTGCTTGAACAAATTCTTTCCAAAACTGCTGTGGGGTTGGAAATTCAAACATTTCTATAATACCATCTGGAATTGGTGGTTGATGAGAACCAAGAGGCTTAAGATGGCCAGGTGGAGCAGGACCAAACCTTAAGAATAGCTGAGCTCCCTTTCCAAGATTGTAACAATATAGTAGTAAACCATTCCATGCAAATAAATAACAAAAAAGGAAAATAACAAGCAATATCAATATGCTCTTTCTTGTGAACTGTGGTATCTTCAGTGAAGGAAAATAATTTTGTACAAACTCTTTTGTGTGATTTCTTATATATATAAGGCTCAAAACATCATGGCTTTCCTCCCCAATTTTATTTTCTGACTTTTTGGAATTCTGAGACTGAGATGACTTTGATGCCATTTAAAATTGTTTGAACACAGATGACCTAGAATGAAAACAAAAAGTAAATAGATAGGCTATATGTTAACAATATATGTTTAAAACACAGTACCTTAGTTATGTACTCTATAGCAGCCATAGGTTACCAAACTTTAATAAAAACAAAAACAACTCTAACAGTACATCTTTATATATTGGCACAAAAGAAAAAAGAAATAGACAAAAACAAAATAAAATGTCATGCACTAATATTTAAAGAAAATTTTCATTCAATTTTACTGTAATAACTGAACTTCTTTTAGGTATTAAGTTCACAATGCTAATCTCCTTGATGCATTTAATCAAGCATATTTACAGTATATAAATATATATATTCACTAAATAATCAGCTGACCATAATGTCACAGCTATAATCCCAGGAATCATGCAGTCTACATAGAGTCAAACAAAACCATGAGAAAATATAAGGTGGCATAGCTCTACAAGTACTTATCTGCTCTACTAAGTAGAGCTAAAGATAACAGAACATCTTTTAAACAATCAAGATCAACTCTCACCCACAAAAACATTAATTGTAACCCATCATATCCATATATTATTTAACAAAGGTTTAAAAAGTTTTAACTAAATGAACACACTGTATTATCAAACAAATCAATCACTAAGTTTGAAAAGTAACTGAAGAATAATTTTGTTGAAAAATAAGTCCAAATCCAAGTTCCAAAGCTTAGACCAATTACCTATAAGCCAAGGATTTCAATAGTAATCTTTCATATGTCAGAAATGTCTACATTCAAGAGTTTTTTAAAAAATAACAGGTAAACTCCCTACTAATTCTTCACTAAACTTCTTTCTGATTTTATGATAAGTCACATCAAGGCAAGTAGCAACACTAGGGGTATACCAAGGTTTACAAAAACAGCAACTATACATATTTACAAAGAAATAACAATTAATGAAAAAAAATTCTTTTCCTCTTAGGTAATTAAATATGTTTTAATTGTTTATTGTACAACCTGTAGTGTAGTAATAATGTTATATATTTTAAGATGTTATTATCAAAGTTTAAGAAGAAAAATAGAATGCTTTCATTTTTGTTTATTAAGGTTACAGTTATACTCCAACTGGAGTATTAAAATTACTTTAAAATAAGACAGCAGAAAAGTCTTTGGTGAACATAAGATGAGCTTTAAGCTAGACTGAATCAATTGGATATTAAAATTCCACTCTTTAATTACGTAAAAGATTTTAATACACTGGCTGTATGAAATGTTACAAGCTGGAATGAAGGCTTGAACATCTGATTAAATAAATTTAACTCTATGACATAGCTATACAAATAAACATTTGTTTCAAAATTAAAGTTATATCTTTGTAATATCTTATATAGTTTTCTGGTTAATGTAATTACTTTTGAACTATTTCCAGATTTTATTATATAAAGTTATTGACAAGAAAGTTTTTATAAATATTTCTGTTAAAATGAAAATTTTTGCTATTCTGTTAGTTTACTGGTAACCTTAATGGCTCAAATGGTATTCTGAAACCCTTGTATCATTTGAGATTTATATTTATTTATTTTTTAATACAATTATCAAACATCAAATTATTATTAGTCATATGAGTTAATATAACACTTTAAGGTTATTATTAAATATTTCAAAGATAAGGAAGCTTGTCGAGTTTCTGAAGCTACTTGTCACTCAGAACTCCAATTACAGTAGTACTAGTATAGGTGAGAGGGCCTTAAAATACGAGTTTGGTTTTAGTTTTTCATGTTCATTCATGTTTAATAAACAATAATACCCCTATTGTACATTTTAAATTTGGTGCACAAGCTCACAAAACCAAATCAAAGTTGAATGTCCCAAATTTACGTTTACATGGATTTTTAGTACTGTCTACAGTTTTGGGCTCCCTACCTCAAAAAAGGGTAATGAATTGTTGGAGGAGGTTCAGAGAAGAGCAACTAGGATGATACCTGGGATAGTGGGATTGTCATACAAGGAGAAATGAAATATTCAATTGTAAAATACAATTTCGTTGTAACCTACCAAGACTAAGTTGAAACTTGAATAAATCATACTAAATTTTGTTCCCATTAACTTAATTTATGAGATATGATAATCAAAGTTAAAACTCACCTTGCTAGTAATAGTAGTTATGCTAGTAGTAGTAGTAGTATAGTAAGAAATTTTCACTAATGTAAAATTCTAAACACGATAATATTTTACGTTTAATAGTAAAAATTCTGAGGGTTTGCCTTGTCTGCTTTTCTGTAGTATTGTAAGAAATTAGTATTTAAAGCTTACACGCCTCAACAAGTGAATGCGAATTAAATAAACTACGTCACAAACAAAATTTCGAGAAAAACTTTTGTATTTCTGCGTCTTTGACAACTGCTAACATAATGACAAATATAAATCGCATTTAAAAGCTGAGTAAACAAATAATGCAAACTCAGTGTTACAAACCAGCTGTATTCCACTTTCCATTCTGTAGAAATCCTATCCCTTTGACAGTAATACTGCACGAATATGACGTAAACGAGACAATTGTTCAAATTCTATCCTTCTATTCTAGCCTTTTTTTTCGTAAATTAAGCATGTTAAGCAATATATTTTATGTAATATTACTGCTATTTTTATAGTGAAGGTCATTTTGTTTTTGTACAATTACCTATAGTAGCTTTAACTTCAATCTCTCAGTTTCAATAGTCGATGCTGCACTGTTATTGTTAGCCACCTGGTGTTACCACTGTGCCGCTTATAATTAGTGGAATGAGGAATTGTGCGTGATACTGCTAACGTACGGTGGCGCCAGTATCGATGCGGTCCTAGCACTGGGCCAATAATATGCTTCGCAATTCAGCATTTGGTCAGTCATTAAACCTGTTTGAGCTGTGCATGAATTTCACTTGTTTTCCTCATATATATTTTACCAATTCCAATAAAATTAGTGAGAAGTGTGAAAATTGGAACCTTTGCATCATCAATGCAGTGAAGTTAAACTACTGTTAGAAAAGCCAATTTCATCGACAGGTAAACAAAATAATATATGCGATAATACAATATTGCAAGAATTCTGTACTCACAAAACGGACTTATACATTGAACTTAACTACTTACAAAATATTGCTGTATCTAGATGGTTACAGCCCTAATATCATAGACAGAGCTTTTATCAAACTTAAAAATCGCAAACAGTTCTATACTAACTCTAGCCTTTCCCTTATCAGTAACATAAGCCATAACAAGTTCGTCTCGTTTCCTTTTGTTCTTGAAATAACCCATTTATTCAATAACTTATAACCAGAAGTAAGAACTGTATATAACCCCCTCACATAAGAAAAGTGCTTTATTACCCACCTTAAAACAAGCTCTAAATTACGAACAAAAGCAAGGCATATATAATATGGAATGTGAATATGGTAAGAAATAAATTGGACAAACTGCCCGATCTCTCGAAATTAGACGAAAAGAACACCAAAACCACATGTGTAGATGGGATTTTGAAAAATCAGCCTTAACACGTCATCAATTTGAAACCGGTCATAGGATTATTTTGAAAAAAATGTCCCTCTTAAACCACCAAAACATAAAATAGAACGAAATATTCTTGAAAGCATTGAAGTTATGAAAACAGGAATTTTATCTTTAAACCGAGACAATGGCCCTAGTAATATTAGCAAAATATTGCAAAATTTATTCACTTTGCTCCCCCCTCCCTCTGACCTTTCTTTAGGTAATAACTCTGTCACAATATTTTGTCATCACACGATAACATCTCGTTGTTACATCCTGTTACCCATAACCCCTAGAGACATTTTTTTCTGTATATAAACCTCTTTGTTTGGATTTGTATCATACCTGAAGAAGACAAACCAATTATGTTGAAACATGTAGTATGTATTAAAGTTTTTCATTATACCTACAAATCGTTGCGTCTAATATATACAAGTCTCCTAGTGTAACGTGCTTCCCTACATAAATACGATAAGACAATGTCAGACTATTGTTTTGTAATATGAAAACAAGTATTGATTCAATATGTTGGTAAGAACCTTGTTCTAAATTGCTGAATAAAACAATATGATTGTAGCTATTGAATGAAAATAAGGATAATGATTAACTTTAGTTCACATTTAAATATGTGTATTTGGCACTGTCAGTGACAATTTTATAGGGCTAGGATAGTTTTCTCGGGTGTGTCAACTACTGACTCGTTGACTTGTTATACTTAAAGCGTTTTATCATTTTCTCTATTCTTCTCATGGACCGTGATGCGATTGTCTTGCACCGGCTGAACCCTGAAATGGCACCTGATTTTACTTGTCTTCCTTGGGGTGAAGGTCCAAACAACAAAATAATATAATCACTTTCCAGGCCTACTATACATTTTAACATAAGGGGTAAGTATTAATTGAAATATTAGTCTCTATATAGTATCGTGCATTTCATGAGCCTAATCATAGGCCTATAAAAACAATTTTGTATACTAAGCTTAGCTAAATTGGATGTGGTGGAGGGGGGGAGTATAATTAGAAAATAAAATTTTAAAACTTCACTCAAGATAAGAAGGTTATAAAATGGGAATAATTTTAGACTAATTTATAAATGAAAAGCAGATTTAAGGAAACTTTATTAAGCACAAGCCTATCATAGCTAGTTTCAGGTACATAGATGTCAAGCACGAAGTGGTCATGACAAACAACGCCTTTCTTCAGTTTCCACTGGCTGGTCCCGTCTGAATGCATTGTTAGTCCCTGATCGTTTGTTGATTTCCCGTAAAAATTCTTTCCGAAGAATATCAGCGATACAAGTCCTTTCTTAAATAAAACTAATTTATTCTTTCTCAACACAACTTTGCAATACACAGAATTTCCACAGTCACTTTAACTTAACACACGCTATAATTCACAACGATTCACGCACTTTTCTTACGGTCAATACCGCTCACTCGGCTCGATTATCTGTCTCTATATCTCCCTATCTGCCCTTATCTATGCCGTCACTTCTCCCCCACTTTATTTGCCGAGGGCGCGTAGAAAACACTAGAATTGCCAGGAACAGACATGATCCTTCTAGAATCTCATGATGTGTTAGTAGCGTCACGTGACTTCCGCTGTCGTAACAGCATGAAGCTACTTTCTAGACAGTTCTAGAGTTAAAGGCCACGAATGACCACCTCTTTTAAAACATCCAGGCACACAACAAGTTGTTTGAGGCACTTTTGAGCTATTTATGAAGCAAACAAGGCAAGACAAAGAACATTAAGAATATAAACATCCGGGTATCTGACTATAGACGTGCTACTGGTTTAATTAGAACAGACCCTCGATGCTTCTTTTTTTTTAAAAAAAAGGCTTCAATTTTTTGAGAGCCGCGGGTTGCGGTTTTTTTGGGCTTGTTTTATTCTGAGTCGCTTATTTGCATGTGGATAACGTCAAATTTCACTTTTAATCAACGATCTGGATCATTTTATGTAGTATGATGAGGAGACTCAACTTTAATGAGGCCATGAAATTTGGTACAAACCCGATCACACTTTACAGAATTATTAACTCAAAATGGGGAAAATTCCCTATCTCCCCACTATAAAAATGCTTCAGATTGATCCGAATTTGGATCCTGACCAAATTTGGGGAGGACTGTCTATTTTATACTGACTTTCCGTCTTGTGTAAAATTTTCGTTTACATCGGTTTATTAGTTTTCGAGATATGCGAAAACACACACACACGAACACGATTGCAATACCTCTGAGGGCGAGGGTAATTAAGCCTCGCAAATCGCCATTTTGAGGATAAGCCATAAAGGCCAACATTACAAATGACGTACACTAAGAAAACAAATCTACTTGTTCAAAGTAACCGCGATAGCTAAACCACACTGACTCACTTGTCATCTTGAAAATCACTCTACACTATCTTAACTATATAGTAAACTTTCGAATATGCTAGTACCTTTTACATGATATTTTTTTAATTTTCTAGAAGTTGTAGGCCTATCTTAATTTCCCGAACTTAATTTTGTCGTCAACGACTCGCAGATCTTTCTCGCTAACAAACAAATTACAACCTTAAATATATAGCTCACAACAACAAAAGTAATATAAGTATAAATTTTGCCCTTCCTCGTTATTAAAATGTATAAAATCAGTGAAGAAAAAATAATTCACGAAGTACGTAGGAGCCTAATCTATTCTTTGTTTGAAACCCTACAAATTTTTGAAATATTGTTACGTCTCCGTTCGTTCGTTAATTAATTTTCCGTAAATTCGTTCCAACGAAACTTTAGCGACACA